GAAGCAAACAGCCAGAAAACCACTATGCGCTGCGTAAATGTCTCGAACTCTACTTTATATATATGTACCGTATTCTATTCTCATCCGTCAAAATAATACAAAAAACATTCATTGCAATGCGGACGAAACTTTTGTCGCGCACTAATTTATTTATCTGACATTTTCTCTTTTTCTTTTTCTTTCTCTCTTTTTTACGTTGTCAACCTTAATATAGGAATCACAAAAATAACTGCCAAAAAGAAAAAATTACTATGACTATCGAAGCTCACCAATCAATTATTGTCCTTGTGCCAATAACAAACTTGTATGTTTTTCCATGACTATTTTGCTCGTTCTGTGTTGTTCGCATCGTCATAGTTTTGCATACAAACAGAACATTCTCGTTGCTTCATACACGAAGAAAATACCATTTTTTTCAACAGTGTATGGGTGCAGCAAACAAAACTTCATTTCATCAGCTCTATCACTTTCGGAGGTCAGACGAGCAGTTCCATGAAAGGATAAGTGTGGGTCTTTTCTTCGCTATCCATACTCTCAAAAATTCATTTCAATTCCATTCAAAGCTTCCAGCTGGATTGAGAGGCATGGCAATGTTAGATTGACATTTAGAAAAAGTTCATGACAAGAACAGACGGGCTTCAGAGAAGAACTTCGGTAGATGTGGATGTAGATGGTTTGGCGTATCTTATCAGTTCACTTACAGACACATCCGTATTCCATATCCACGCCCACATTCGATGTGATTTGACTATTAGCAACCTATTACTTCTTTCATTCTTTTAAATCTCGTTCAAAAATACTAAAAGAGAATATGAAGGGTGTGGGTGTGGGTGGTGTGGATGTGTGGGTATGGGTGGCTAGGGTGTGTGGGTGTGGTTGTTGGTATTTCTTTTACCCATATCCACAACGAAACCCACACCCACACCCACCATTTGTGCATATTGGTAGTGGTACGTATTGGGTAACATACTAGAAAACAACTTTTTTTTTAGATCTCTATCTTCGCAGTTTTGTAGCTCTTGACGTTTGCTATTGATGCTGAAAAATGGCTCTGAGTCTCGGGCAACTAGCTGAGAACGAGGGTACACAAGATTCCAGGATAGCCTATACATTACACCACTCTGATGGTAATTTAAACTTTTTGAAATTAATTTTTGATTTTTATTCAAAGGTACATATGCAGTTTTGTTCAGACTTAAATTCTCTATTTAATGGTATATAAGTCGAGCACTGAATCATGTGAAAACTCTTCGAAAAACTAATAATTCTCTCGCTCTTAATATTCAGAAGATAAGCAAAAGGGATATATCTAATTGAATACCAAAGTAAGGCAAAAGTGTGCCCGAACGAGCTGAAACTTTCAGAGGTGACTACTTATTCTGAGCTCTTTAATTGCTGGAAGTTCCACATCAAACTGCCTGTGTTTTCTAATTGGATCGATTTAACCCCAAAACGTCCCTCGTCCTTTAAAGATTTCTCAGCCGCCGCCGCCGCAACATAAATATAAAGATCAGATTCTTAATTATCACCAGTACTCAGAACCAGTTTTTAGGTTTCTACTAATCTAGTTTCTTATTAGAACGCTCTACATTAAAGTTTTTTCTTTCTCTTTGATTCAAAATTTGTCAAAACTGGAAAAATTTTTGAAAACAAAAAACTATAAACTTCCAGCCACCGTCGATCAAGGCATCGGCTTACACCTCTAGGTGCTACTGGTCAAGGATCATCTACTTATATAGATGATTATGATATGTATACATAAACCATTTAATTAAGAAAACAAATATGATCAATTCAGGAAATGATTTTTCTGTATATAATTTAGAAATAAATAAAAACAATTAACTACCGAATTGGTCATCTTGAGGGTGTGGGTAGGTGTGGATACAACTGAATGGAGAATGATTGAGTTTGAACCATCATAAATTTATTCACAGATTTATCCTCGCTTACACTCCACCTATAGCATTGTAGTTTATTAACTCTGTAAATTTTGTGTTTAGATTGGTCAGAGATTGTGCCGATAAGATGTTTTTTTTGCGGCGAAGATTGATAACAGGTATTATTATCGTTAGCAATAACGTTTTTTCTTTCTTTGTTGAATGACGATTTTACACAAGCAAAAACAAGTTACAAGTAAGATGAAAATATTTACAAGGTTATTACAACGTTGACATATAGATTGACAGGTACAGTTTGTCATGATCAATACCTGAGCAGGTTCACATCAGCGGAACTATAATGGAGATATTCAAATTTTTCTTTGTCTGGTGAATTCCTGGGGACTCTATATTATTTCTTTTTCGAATGTATTTGATCGACATATCAATTGTAGAAAGAAAGAGAGAGTAGGGATTGTTATAATTTTGATGATAAAACAGAATAGCATTGAGAGAGAGAGTAAATGAAATTTGTTTTTCATTTTTAAACAGCTTGAATTTAATAAAATATAAATTTAGCTTGAGAGATCTCTAAGTGAAAACAGTCAAAACATTTTCTATGAAATATTATTATAGTACTTTTCGAAAGCTCATTGAGTCTGTTTAATGAAAGATTATTCATCATAGTTTTTCAAAATATGTCTCTTCAATATTGTTATTTAACTAGGTTGAAAGTGAATTAATAATTTGTCGAATTTATTTTTGATCAAACGAAAATGATGAGTGTTGCAAAGGAAATCTTCACGAGTTTAAGTGATCGACCAAAAAACTTATCGAATCTTCAATGGCTTCATTATGATGATGAAGGATCAATTATATTTGAAAAAATCGTTCTCCAAGATGAATATTATATTACACGATCAGAACGTCGTATTTTCGAATTAAATTCTGATGATATTATTGTTAAAGCAGCAGGTGACGAAAAGAATCGTCTTCGTATTGCCGAACTTGGATCCGGTACAGCTACGAAGACAGGTATTCTTCTTCGAGCTGCTCTAAAGTATCAAAGAGGTCCTATTACTTATTTTCCTATTGATGTATCAACAACAGCACTTGATGAAGCTCAATCAAGTTTAAATTATCTCCTTCCCGATGTATGTGTAATGCCACAGGTTAAAAATTATGTTACAGATGATTTTATTCTTCCAAGCTTTGATGGATGTACACTTGTTATTTATATTGGTGTATCCATTGGAAATTCTTCTAAAGAGGAAGCAAAAAACATTCTTCATCATGTTTATGAACAATTAAAAGTGGGAGATGCATTATTGCTTAGTGTTGATATGTGTCATGATCCTTCTGTATTATTATCTACCTATAATGATAAAAATGGTGTTGTTGCCGATTTTCAGTTCAATGTTCTACGTCGATTGAATCGAGAATTTGGTTATAATTTCAATCTTGATCAATTTCGTTATCAACCTATATGGAACGAACATAAGTCATCGGTGGAACAGCATCTTCAAAGTTTGTGTTCACAACAAGTGAAGTGTATTGATCAATTCGGAGAAAAAACTCTTCATTTTGACAAAGGTGAAACGATTAATATGATAGATAGTTATAAGTTCAGTATCGAAGAGATTAATATGCTTCTTAATATTACTGGTTTTACTATTGAACATATATGGAATGATGAACATAAATGGATTAATGTTATATTAGCACGTAAACTATAATTGGCATTTTAGAGATTCTTCATCATTATTAATCATCAGTCATTTTATTGTAATAAAATTCATTTTAATTTTAATTTTTATCTTATTCTTTTAATAACTTTTTTATTCAAAAATAATAGAAAAAATTTTTGGGTGTGGGTGCGGAGCGTATGACTTGGTTCACATTCACAAAGTTGTCAAGCTATAGCTAAAACGTACTTTCTGTCTATTCTTACTATATATATATATATATATTTAATAGAATGAGAAAATTTTTCTTTTCTCTATCACGTATTGAGCGCGTGATCACTGAAATCAGTCACACCTGAGCGGTCTCTGGTAAAATCTTCTCTCTTTACCATGAGCAGAAGTCGTTCTGCGTCATCTAGTCATATAAACAATAACCAAAACTCATGTAATAATCGTCAAGATGATCAACATAGTCAACTAATCTCTGGAATGCACAAATAAGGGTATCAAGCCACAACCAACAATGACCTTCATCAAGATAATTTTTATCAGAATCGTAGATTCTCAAAAGAGATACTTTTTAATGAAACTTCGCAATTTAAAAAAGCCATAGCTATTTAAACGCTTTGATACACTGAAAAAAAAGCATCGAATGATAAACTCTTTAAACGTTTATCAAAGTGTAACGTATAACAAACTCTTTTCTACTGTTTATCAGGATGTATTAAACCTTTTTTTCTACTCGTCAAGTAGCTTGACAAAAAGGTTTACGAACATAAAATACCAATCATAAAAATATTTATTGAAGCGTTTATCTATTTGAAAAATTTTTAAAGTGTATGTTTTACGTTGCATTCTACTAAATCTTTTCTAAGGATAGATGGAATTGCAAAACTAATTCATTTCAACACAGATGTTCGTTGATAAAGGAGTATATGAAAACCAACTACCCTAGTATCATCTTGTCTAAAGCTTATAAAAAGCGATCATCAACTCCATCAACTGCAGTGAGGTTCATCAGAGGGTATTTCAGAGGTTTGATGAGTCTTATCAGGTAGATAAGGGTTGATAAAAGAGTAGTTGAAACAGTTTCTGAATCCCATGAACTGCAATAAGAGTTTATGAAGGCTTGTTTAGAACGTTCATCAATTCCATCCGCAAGAGAAAATTTTATGGAATGGTAGTTCAGAGTGTTCGGCAATATTAGAGATTCACACAGTCATTGTCGGACTGGGGATGATGCTTTAAAAGTAGGCGCAACAAGAAGATAGAAAAAAGAGAAAAACGACTAAATTTAGGAACTATTAACGTTAAAAGAATGCAAGGGATCAGCTGTAAACGTGCGAAAATTAGAGATAAGAGACGCAAAATACAAAGAAACCCTGTGCGGACGACAGAAAGAGTAGCGTTTGAGTGCTGAATCAATGGATATGGTCGAACGGAGCGCATCGAAAGCGAATTCTCACAGAGATTATAAGTTAAAACTATTCGTCTCGTAGAACACAGCTATGAGTGCATAGGAAATCAGCTTCATTTTCTTTTCTACAACTGAAAAGTCCAACAGAACGAGAAATGCAGAAGATTAAAAAATGTCACAATAGCTTTACAGTCTGACTGCACTTAATTGCAGGGGAAAAGGGCATTGACAAAATAAATTTTCAGACAGATACAGATGGAACATCTGCGTCAATTTCAGGAGCTCGAAAAAACTCAAGCGAAAAAGACGAACATCGTAGCTAGAGAGATCATAGACATAGGCTTACATAGCGGGTGGGTGTGGATGTGTGTGATGAGAAGATATCCACACCAGCACCCACATTCTGCGAATCTTCCTCGAAATATTCGAATCCTAAGGTAAGATATCCTATGTTATACAAATATACAATCAATAGCAGAATAAAGATATACCTCCGTATGAATTATGTAATCGTAGTTGAGCGACATCTAATAAACAAAGTTAAATTCAAGTATAAACCGGACACTGTTGTTTTCTTCCCTTTTTCGTTCACTGACATTATTATTCTACTCATTAGCCGCATCTATGTATATTCTCGAACAGTTTAAACAGAGATGTGCGGCAAAAAACAAGATGGGCAGGAGCTGTAAGGGGTTATCTTTCAGTGGAGCTGTCGAACATTGTTTTTCCATTTTACGATCTATTTCTCCAATAATATCTATACTATTCTGACTGGGGGTAACTGAAGACTTTCTAAAATTAGAGATGGGTGCACTCCCCCTGAAACTATATGGGCGGCACATCTCTGAGTTTAAATATGAATCAAAAGTTGAATTCAACTTTCAAAATTGATATGTATTCTAACGAATGATCCAATTCAGTGAGTAGAAATACAATTGGCAATAATATTGAATTGACTGATTTCCGTCAGAAAGATAAAATCGATCGTTATAATAGTCTCTTCTTTAAACAGATCTTAGTTAGTTATGTTGCTGTTAGGACATTTAGATTCGATGACACGTTTTTAATCTATACATTATGTCTGAGTTCATTGTCTTTAGTCTATCTGATATGTTAGTCACTTTCCTTTTTTTTTCAATGAATATTATCGGACGAGTATATCTCAAAAGAAGAAAATGTTCAGTCAATAATTGATTATATCGATCGAATATAAATTTTTCAGTCAAGTTGGTTGGTTATAGAGAAAAAAAAAAGAAAATTTATTTAACTCTGTCTTTTTCATTTTCATAAAATCAAATTAGTATTTGTGTCAAAACTTTGGCCTAAATACTATAGTGAGGTATGTTAAGATATTTTGGTAAATATTTCGAACAAGATGTACAGTTATATTTTGTCAAGTACAGAGTGCTCATGTATATTATGTTTCACAAATACAAACTGTATCAAAACGTAGTTTTATCGAAAATAAAACAATATTAGTCTATCCGAGAGATCTTAATATAGGTATAACTTCGAACAAAAAAGATTTATTAAGATATGATAAATAGAGTGTAAATTTTTCTTGAAGAATATACATATTTTCAGTGAAATTTATATCAGTAAACATTTGTCATGAAAAACAATGAGATGAATAATTTGTTGATATTAATGATGAAATCAAGTAATGTTTCTTTGATCAGATAGATAAATAAATAATATGATCTATTCATAGATGTACCCAGGAATTTTTAAAACTTGTGCACATCAACAGTTTTGTGAAATACGAATTAGAAAGAGTATTGAAGTATTTAGAAGTAGAAATTTAGATTCGATCTTTAGTTTTATTCACAGACATTACAGATCATGATTAACACTAAAGCAACTCTTATCGATGCGTCCAATTACAGTAGTAACGTTCTCTTTCAAATTTCTTTCATTGTAATCTACTCACATGTTGTTTTGTCATGCAGATATTAAGATATCTTTCTTATAGATAGTATACTAAAGACATAGAATAGTTCTCGTAGAGAAAAAAAGAAAATATTCATTTAATCAAAGGGAAAAAGCGGATACATAAGAATCCATCAGGATCCACTTTTTCCCCTTTGCATTTAATAATTGAAAAGAATAAAAATCGAAATATTTTAATTTATATTTTAGATAAAATGAAAAGTCAATTAGAATTATTTCCCAATGAAATATTTTTGTGTTTATTTTGTTATTTTTCATGGAATGAAATATTAACATTATTTTGGTCATTAAATAAACGATTAAATTCACTTATTTATTCAATGTTTACAATAAATAAATGTGGAATTATTCTTATTCATCCAGGTTTATCGTATAAACAATTTTCATCAAAATATTTTCCATTAATATCTCATTATGAACTTTCTTCTTATATTCAACATATTCATTTAAATGAAATAAATTCGAATTCATGCAATTTATTCAATAATAATAAAAATATTCTTCATTATCCAAATCTAAAATCACTTGTTTTAACTGAATGTTATTTATCCGAAATATTAATTGAAAATTTATCGTTACTTATTCAACATCAATTGAAAGAACTTACAATAAATATAGATGAAGATATTTTTGAAACATATCGTTATGAACAAAATTCAATTCCTATTCTTTCTAATCAAGGTAATTGATTGCTTTTCTTTTGGTACTTTCTTAATATTGATTCATTCTTTAACCAATTCATACTTTCTTTGATTTAACAGTAAAAGTAGCAAAATTTTTTACTAAGACTGAAATAAAACTCAAAAAGGGAATATCGGTTGATCTGAGATTCGGATTGGATTACACAATTACCGGTACATGTATATAAAGAAGTTATGTGTATATTTTCAAAATTATTCTTAGGACACTCGAAGTCATACATATAATCACGTTTTGATCTAATTCTTTTACTTTGAAAGGAATCTTTAATCGTTAATGAACTGAAACTTATTGTATTTCACACTCTCTCATATAGTTTCTATTCGAATAATGACACAATTATTTCAACTCTATGTTTCACATTATCGTCTTAACTACTTAGGGCAATCCAAAAGTAGTGTCGTCAAGATCTTAATTCCTTATAATAAGCAAAAAAGTTTTTCTTGTTCTATGATTAGATAGAGCGTCTTTCGCTCTATCTTTCTATGCTATTTGATCGCTATTTCAACTAACATCACAATACTAAAATTTCGATAAGATCTGTTTCTTTCGCAT